GAAATGCAACTCTACAGGCCAGGACAAAAAGCTAAGGCAAACAGCATGACACCCTGAATTCATTATTAGTTAATCAATGGGTTGTTTCACTATGCACAGCAGAAGCCTTATTGTGTCTTCTCACCTGTAACACTGGATAAGAGACTTTTTTTTTTGAGATAAAAAGAAGTAACTTTCAGATTAAAGTATTTGTAAAGAATTCAGCCGCTTCTAAGATGCTACTCTGTGAGCATCTTGTCTCAGTTTCAGCACCAGGATGAGGTAACTAAACTGGCAGAGAATGAGAGTGCCCCAATATTTCTTTAGTAAAACAGCAAGTTATTACCATACCATGCAAACAGGTCCCTATATTACATTTTCGATACTTTTGTGTGTCTTTGCCACTGATATTTGACATCGAGTAAGACTGACAGGCCACTCGTAGTTTGTTACAAGAAATTTTGTTTAATTAAGCACAGCCTCTGTGAGACCAAATATGAAGAACACAAAGCTACCTTTTGAAAAATCTAATAATTCATTTGCTAAAGGGGAAAAGCCTGTTCTTGGTCTACCTGTGTGTGTAGATGAATTATATAATCTCCATGTGCTGCCTCCGAAACATTGTAAACATTGGTAGCAAATTGGTTTAGTTTATTTGAGAAGACATGCTGTAGATTCATGGTAACAGCCACTGAGCAATCTAGCTTTATAGTTAGCTTCACATTGCTTCATTTATTTTCCCAGACAGTGCTCTCCTGTCACACATCAGAACTTCAGCTGACAACCACAGACACAAACAGGTGGCCACTGAGAAAGAACATCCATGAAGACACATGCATATGTTATGAATTTAGTACTACTGAAAATATACTGCACTGTAGAAACATTTAAGAACAGTAATTATAACAAAAAATCAGAATATCATCTCTTACAATATTACATTTTAATTGATGTGTAAGCAAAATTCTTTAAATCGTGTTTCCCAACTAGGGCCAACAACTGCAACTGTTTCCAAATTTCTGTCCCATGACTTATCTCCTTTTTTTGGTTTATTTGTTTCAAATGTAAAGAGAAACGCATGAATATTGTTAAATAAATGAAAAGTTTCTTTCAGTAAGTATAACTCCAGACATTTATGAGTTTAATCCTCACTTAAAATGGCACCTGATGTGCACAACAGGGTCCAGCTTGAATTTGTAGACTCTCAATTTGGCCTCACCTCAACATATTGCATTTAATCTCAGCTAACGGTGAGCTTCCTGAATACAAGATGTTGCCAGTCTATCTCCCCCAAGAATACTAGTTATATTAAAACAGACTTCATCAGAACCATCAAACTATATCCAGGCTTCACAGGGGCCTGACAGCAACATCTAAGAGCTTGGTCCAGGCTTAAAGCCACGAGCAAGCGGCCAGTGGGTGAACTGAGTATTACTTTGGTATGCCACTTGGACTATCCATTAAGATATCAGCACTGAAAGAAACATAAGAAAGCCAGAGCGTAAAATGTTAGCTGTTCCAAGTTCACGTATCATCATCCAGGAAAAGAGCTTATTAACACATCCAAGTAAAATCCTCTTTTTTATTTCCCTTCAAAATTTTGGGACTCTGTAAAGTTGAGCAAACACAGACGAAACTGATTTGCTAGTCATCTAATATCCGTATTTAATTTAGTATAGCACAAAGACATCTTATTAAATGCTGGAATGTCAAACAATTTGCCCAGAATGTATTTCCTTTACATTTGAAAGAAACAGTCAGTAATCATCTTACTGACATGTTGCCAGTCAGCCTAATTAGCAATGAGATGTTCTGTCAGGTCTTTACCTTTTTGTAGCACAAGTTCAATAAGTATTTAAATAATAATAATAATAAAAATGCCTACATTTCAAGTATAAAATGATGTTTTTGTACAATTTACAATTCAATATAGGTTTATATGATTTTGTTAATCACTGGACTGCATATTTATTTACATACTAAACTCCATCCCAACTTTTTTGGAACTGTATGGGTTGTACTTCTTCATCTTCTTCGACCATTTTTGTGGACCTTGGAGGCAGTTGGATAATGCCCAGCATTCCCACAAGATAGAATATAATTACACAGACAAATTGTAATCCTGATTAGCCCCAGCAGCCTTCCCAGCCTGTTTACATAATCACATTGAGATAAAGTCTTCATCAAGGGCTCAGTGGCCAGATTACAGTCTGTGTAGAACCCACCTGATTACCAATAATTAGAGACTGCCCAGTATAGACTTAATAAAGACACAGACACACACACACGTGAGAGATAGAAGAAAATGTTAGAAATACAATGTATTCACAATAAACAGAAGCAGTGCCACACGACAGATGGACAATTTTCAACAATCTGCTCGCAATCATTAATCGTTCATTGTCTTTTCAAGGGTCCACGATACAGCCCAGAGCCTCTGTGGTCTCTTTGCTCCTTCAGCTTCCTATGAGGACACACCTTCCTAATTTTCATTTATAAGACCCAAACAACAAAAAACGAATGTCTGAGCAGATCTTGATATGCAAAATACCACTGAAAATTAATTAAATCCATAAAAAGTATGAATATAAAGTGAAACAGCATCCATCTGCTTCACTATTCTAATAACCATAAACACTATACGAGTAAAGGGGGCAGATGAAGCAAGCTGTGCACATAACCACAGTCTGGTTCTTCAGAGCATCGCCACTTACATTCACATGATATTATCCATTTCTTCTGTAAGTACAGAAGATTTATTGTTGTGAACATATTGATTGTCCACTGATCGATGAACGCATTGCGACAACCATAAAAAACGGACAAAGGCCGCTTTTGTACCCAAGGGAAGAGAGACAGATTGTTCATTGTCAGCGCAAAGGAATTCAATTGGTGTTTGAACCAGTTATTTTGATCATCTATTTCTTCATGTTTTTAAGGACTTTATCTTTAAAACCACCAGAAAAAACTTCAATGTCTACAGTTTATCCTCTTCAATTTGTATACGCAGTATTATATTCTCTTCAAGGATGTGACCAAGTTGCATTGAATTTCCACAGTTAATCGAACTGCTGCAATGAGTTTTGTTTTTTTTAATGAAATTGTGACATTGTATCTGTTCTGCACAACAAGTTGCAAAACTTTCATTCAACTTCATTATATATGTGCACAGTGCCAAGATTTAGACAGGTGATGGAGATACCTAAGAATCAGAACTGTGCATCACCCAGGACAGGATCCTGGCTCAAAAATAATCTAATTATAGTCACTGAAAAAGAACCTCTAGAAAAGTGCTGTTGTACAAACCCTGCCAGATAGGAGCCTTTTTTATGGCATCATTATCTTAGAAGGAGAAGTGAGTCACAGGCCAGATGTAGCAGATATCTTTTTACTTCTGAAAACACTGTGTCAACTGTCAGAGGCTGAGGAACAACAACTGTTCCATAGTTCTTCTTCCTCTCGTTGCGCCGTGTCACTATTTCCTCCACTCTTTTCCAAAAGAAGATCCAGGCCTTCTCCCCTTTCCTCACGTCCTCCTCCTCTCCCTCCCCCCACGCCCTCCCCCAATTCCTGACTGGCTGTCTCCCTAATAAGTAACAGAACTAGGAGGATTGGCAGTGGCCTCAAGGTTTGACATTGCCACAGTGTGGGTGGTGATGAAACAGCACTGTGCCCGACTCTGCTCCACTCGACTTGGCTCATTCTTGGTGGGCGCTGCTACTCTGCATGCTGCACATCTCATCCACCCCCAAGAGACAGACATTGGAATTACTCACAGGGCGAGCAATCTGCATGTAAATTAATATCTGTGAGTCCCCACATTCGGAAATAAATACATGCATGCAACAGATAGGTAGCCATTCAGTCACACGCATAAAACATCGTTAATGTGTTTTACGCAAAGACATTCAGAAGTAACACATTTTGGGGGTTTGGGGTTGGGGGGTATTTTGTTTGCTTCTCTCTCTTTCGCTCTTTGCGTGTGATTTTAGTAAGAAATGAGAATTTCATCCAGTAGTGTGTGGTACTCAAACAGACACACTCATGCACACACACACACATGTTTCGACATGTAACTCCACTGCAAGGGCACGAGAATTTCATTTTTGCTTTCTGCAAATGTTTACGTGCCATTGAACAGCGGATGAGGACATGTTAATTGCAGTGTGCTAAATAAGCACTCGTCGCTTTGACTGACTTTTACAAAAGCTGTAGTGAGTGAACAGCATGAATCTAATTAAAATAAAAACAGAGAGATGACACAATCGAGCTCAAAGTCGTTTTTTAAGGACTTTATTTTGAAAACTGCTGGGAAAGTGGCATTTTACTAGTGCAGTTGTTGGTCTGACTAAATCTTGCTGATGCATATAAGAAGAAGACAGAGGGAAAATAAACTAAAGCAGCTGTTACCTCACCAGCTACATCGAGCACTGAAATGGTCAGACACAGAGACAGAGCCACCAGAATACTAAGAAGCCCACCTTACACCTGCCTGCACTGGCAACTTCGATAAATACCAGCCAACAAATTGGTTCTACACCACTTAACCTGCCTCGGTCCCTGAATGGGTTCAGTAACGTTTCTGGTGAGAAACCGGCCTGACGCAAATCTCACATAAATACTTGAAAAACTCGACCCAGAAACGAGAAAATGCGCGCGGCTTTATCCCAAAAGAAAATCAAAATCTCTTAACATGATCAATCTGCGGCGCGTGCACTTGCGCCTCAACAATTCACTAGTTAGCCTACTAAGCAAAGCAGCTCACGTAGGCTATTAGAAGAAGCGTAGGCTACCGCAAGAATATCTATTGAGCGAATCTGTCAAAGCCTGCATTGAGCGCAAAACCGCCGAAATGCGTCCCTTAAAAGTCCATCCAGAGAGCCGAGGTAGGCTATTATGTGCACGTCTGTAACGTTAAAGGTTTTGATTTCTTGCACGCACGCACACATGCGCGCGCAGACACACACCGAGGCACACCAAGCGCATTCGAAAATGCAGAGAATTGCGGCAGTGGCTCGTACCTTTCACACAAGTGAACATCAGTGAGAAGACGAGGTTCCAAAAAACAATCCCCGTTCTAATCCTCATCGTTTTGGCTTGAACAAAGTCCCGTCTGCCACATTTAACGCATCTCCTGTTGAAAACGTCCCGTAGTTCAATAGATCCGTCGTAGTATCCGTCTCTGTAAATCCCCTTCATGTTCACAACTAAAACATGTAACCTATGGCCAGTTTTCGCTTTCTGTGGGGGTTTAAGTAGATTCCCTTCTCAGAGGAGAAACAGGCAGAGCCGCCCGCCGCGCTTCGTCAGCTGATAGGAGAGAAGTGAGCAAGACTGAATTTTAGGATAGGACCACAGCAACCTGGACGAGGGCTCAACCATCTCTGCTGAGAGGGGCATCAAGTGCGAGGATCTCTGCTGGCGCGCTCTTGTGTCTGCCGTTCAACATATTTCCCTTTGAATCCCTAAAAACCGGCTGATGACGGAGAAGAGTCTGGTCTACAGTTTGAATGCTGGCTTTATCGATCGGCAATTGAGCCAGGCAGAGTGAGAGAGGAAAGGTGGCGGTGGGAGCAGGGAGGGGAGGGTGCGAGAGGGAGAGCGTCCTGTGTAAGTATGATTTGGCGGATGTGTGGGTAACAAATCATGAAGTGGGAACAGCAAGGTGTGGGTGGCAAAGGAGAAGGAGGGAGGTATCTTTATCTTTATTTGCATTCTTCTCATAAAGAAGAATGCAAATACTGAGAAAGAGTCGTACTGTGTTAATGAGAGCGTGTGTGTGTGTGTGTGTGTGTGTGTGTGTGTGTGTGTG